GACGGGGATGTCGAATCGAGCGAGAATCACATTCGTCAACCTGAAATCAATCTAGAAATCCTCGTCACTCAGCCAGCATCAACAACAAAATTCGGTCAGATTTTCAATACAAACAACGTCAAGTCAGTCAGTTCTTCTACACGGATCAGAAACTTGGCGGGCGAGTCACAAAGAATATTTCCAACAGCCTGTTGCAGTCCTTCATCAACCAACAACTGTCTTCGCTGGATCTATACTGAAGATCAGAAGGCCGGGCCGGAAAGAATCACCAACCAGAAACTATGGGAACAAACAAAATAACAAGAACCAAGGGTCGTCCAACTAATAGTGTGCAGGATAAAGTGGATTGGGATGGATGGGACACTCGTTGAGGAGGCCAGTGGGTGACATCGCGAGCAAGTCAGGCCATTGCTCGAGTGGAACACGAAAGAGAATTGGCGAGTTGGTCGTCAATGCAAGGATCACATGGAGGAGATCGTGTGAAGAGGAGTTGAAATATTATGGATTGACATGGATGCAGGTGAGAAGTACATCAGAAGGAAGACAGAAGCAAGTGGAGACGTGCAGTTGAAGCCCTGTGTTCCGCTAGGAACCCAAGGGTACAATAATAATATAAAAAGGTTAGAGAACCTTTCCTTGCATTTCATTGTATAACTTCCTTGAGACTACACAAACATCGAATGCTCCATAGTCAGAAAAAAGACCACTATGCCTCGTTGAATCCACTTATGGTTCTATTCAACAATAAGTGACAAAATCAAAACGTCAAAATGACCTCAACAGTGCTGTTAAGCATCTGTACCACAAATGAAGACTTCTAAGCACAAAACAAGTACTTAGAACCAAAGAGAATATTCTCAACAAAGTGGGATCGAAAACTCTGCACACACACAAGTACCACACACATCAACTATTCCCATATCCATCCCAAATCGGAATGGGCTTCATTCACTCAAACAAAATCGGATACCGTCAAACAACACATTGCCAATACTATGGCACAACCACAAAGAGAAACACTTAAATTAGAGATTAAAAAAGAATAAAGACAAATAATTAGGATGAGGTCAACATATGGTGTGTGTGTGTGTGTGAAGGTCAGATTTATGATAAGTAGTTTAGGAGGAAAAAGGAGAAGACTTACAAACTTTATGTGTTAGTTTGCACAGAGTTAATTGGTTTAAAGATTTCATCATGAACAGACATTGATTAGAGGACCATTGGAAAACCTTCAGGATGTACTGGATAGCTGTTTCGTCTCAGTTTGGGACTCTTCATCAGTAGGTACACACCTCAAGCTAGTACCTTCTGGTTAAACGGCCAGCTAGGTCGTTAGGGAAGGCCCTGAAACTCGATCCAACGGCCAGTCCATGAATTCAAACCTGCTTATTCACGAAATGGCGCGGGCACTTTTCAATGTTAGTTGAAACATTGAAATAAGTATCAATATTGTGACTATGTCGTTCAGGAGAGATTTTCGAAACAGTTTGTTCTTGTACAATCTGTCTGTATTCTCTTTCATTAACGCCTATTTTTTATGAACTTTTTTCATAATACTCAACCTACGGTCTAAACTCGCTAATTGTCACTCTTCCCCAAGTTACATTTTGACTAGTCTTCACTGTTTTGAAACATTTTGATGAGGTAGAGAAAACATCAAGCTAATTTATTCACATACTATATTTGACATACTGAATGTGTAGATACACACACACACACAGAAATAATTACATAAGTACATCTATAGATATTTGTAGGAAAAATCTCGTGAGATGCTGTCCTCACTTCGTAGTTTCCTTACAATCATTTTATAATTAGAGCGAATTATGAAAAGAACCTGATAACTATTCACTTGTATGAAACAAAAGTACAAGGGTCTGTTAAAATGTGCACAAAGGACATATTAATGAATATGCTATGGAGAAAACATTCAGTTTTATTGGCTAACACATATCCAGAAAACTTCATTTCATGAGATTGGCGCCTGAAAAGATGACTTCGGCATGAAAGAAAGCTGTTTCTTTTCTGGGCTTAGTTGTCTTCTGTGAACTAAGTCAAAATCATCCATATTTGTCCTCACTTCCGATCAGATGAATCCTGCTGGTCTCCACTACTCACTAGAATTAACTCCAGATATCTTCAAACCTCTAGCCAGTCACTAACGAGTACACTTAAGATCACGAAGTGACAAGATTGGTGAAAAATACACAGGTTGGTCATTGAGTTGGATCCCGGTGGCTGAATAAACTACAAGGTTGACTTGTAAAAAGAGGAAGATCCTGGCTTTCAATCCCAATAAAATAGGTACTCCCTATAATTCCCAATTATTCTACATAACTTTAACTAAGGATTGTTAAAGATGATGGAAGGACCTTGGATGAATCATATTCATCCTAAATTATGTGTACAGAAGACAGTGGACATCAATCTTCGTCTACCCTACGATTACTTGACCTACTGAAATATGATTACACATTAATATGTGATTTCATTTTATTTGACAGAGTAATTCTCATACATTTTAATTTATTATTTTGTGAACCATGCTATTTGTAAAGCGATCATAAAGAGACATCCAAAAATGATATCATCTCGTGATGCTTGTCTTTTCAATGGTCTATTTAAATTTATCAAAGGGACTAACTGTTTCTACATATATTATTGAATATCGATTGAGCGTATATCTGAAAATGAGTGAAGTCCACGAGGATGAATCTCTTCTCTGAAGTATTTCTTTTTATTTCTCTATCTGATTGAGTATTTTTCATGAATCAAGAAAAGATGAGCACCGCTGCACACTCTGCACCTGATCTATATATCACACACAGATCATCAACCAGAAACCAGCCAATGCCACACCAGCACAAACACTGACTGCTACCAAGGAATACCCCAGTTAGAGAACCATTGAAAACCAACATGGGAGTATTGGACACCTGTTTTACCCTAGTTAGGGACTCATTGGCAGCGCATACCCACTGGACTACACCGACTCCTAGATTAGAAATAGGGAGAGAAGTGGTACAGCACGTTGACCGCTTCACTTATTTGGGAAGTACCATCAGCCAACACCAACGGGTTGGTCTCTGATGAAATCTCAGCACGGATACAGAGGGCTAGTTTCGCATTTGCCAGTTTACGCCGTCTCTGGCGTAGACGAGATATCCGACTATCGACCAAAGGGCGGTTGTACTGCTCATCAATCCGCTCCGTCCTCTTTTATGGCTGTGAAACCTGGCCACTGAGAGAGGAAGACATGAAAAGATTAGCTGTCCTTGATCATAGGTGCCTGCGTTCTATCTCCCGTGTGAAGTGGTATAATAAGGTGAGCAATATTGAGGTTAGGCGTCGAGTGCTAGGAAGACAGGGGAAATCAATCGACGAAGTTATAAAGTTACAAAGACTGAGATGGTTAGGACAAGTGTTACGTATGCCGTTTGCCTAGTCATCGCCTTCCTCGACGAGTAATGTTAGCGGATATAGGGTCAGGCTGGAAAAAAGCTAGCGGAGGTCACACTAAAAGATGGCACCAGTCAATGAAATCTACAACAGTTAGTTTAAGCCAGTCACGTAGGGTGGCGTAGACTTCCTCGTTGGGGTTCTCGGGACGGTAAAAACCCAATGGTTGGAAACAATTGGTGACATGGCTCAAAATCGTTCTCAGTGGCTCAGATGCATCCACTCCTTGTGACTTATGATTTCCAATGAAACTGCTTTGTTCTTCGTTATTACTCCTCCTTTGTATCACACCTCAGCTTATTGTCTCTATTATGCATTTCTTCTACTTTCTTCTCTTGCTTTGTGTGCTACAAGCAGGGAGTGTGGCGACTTGAACTGTCGCACATATGTGCAAAGTTCTATGTCTAAAATAGACAGACAGACACACCCATCGAGCGGGTTTCGAACCCACAACCTTCCGGTTACAAGGGAAGTAGGTAGAGCATTCATCCATTGAGGCCCCTTTTAATGGCCAACACATGAGTTCTAACTTCTATCAATTCGAGATTATAACGCGACCACCAGCCAACGTCATCGGCAGGAACTCCATCCTCACTCCTGACTGAATAAACCCCACTAGTCACACACAACTTCTCAGTAGAACTCCAGGTAACTTCGTTCTCTAGTTAGTAACTATCGTGCATCAGAATAATTTTCGAGAATTGGTTTATTGTAGGGATTCAGTTTGTGTCAGGTTAGATCACGGACTTGTACCAGTCAAGACAGAGAGAGAGAGAAAGAGAGAGTGCCAATCAATCCCTACAAACTAATTCTTAAAAAAAATAACCCAATTATCAAACTTTCAGCAGTCTGTGTCAATCATTCCAACCGTTTCACATGACATCAAACAGGGCGATTAATTTTTGTACAGCTAACATGTCTATGAAATAAATTCTGTGTAGCGTAAAAAAAGTTTTGTTTTAAAAAATAAGAGATGAAATCTTGACATATGTGTGTGTCTCTGGCATAATAAACGATTGTTATTCATCCGAATGTGTGAACCAGTTGCCGACAACGATTAACCAACTATAATCCATCTCCTCCACACCCCAACCCAACCCATCTCCGTCAAAGGTTTGACGGTATGACACGTTAATCATTTTACAGCATTATTTCATAAATAGAGGCATGTTAAAATAGATATTATGTCCTAATAATATCAGTGGAATGCTTGCTATACAGACAGATAAAATGCTATGCTTAGCTTAATTTGACAGACATGTTCACAAAATATACACCACCAATATAGAAACACAACATACCTACATGCATAGATTTCCCAGTATATGAGAAGTTTTCATGGTGAGTGTGTATGTGTGTGTGCGTTGTACGTACGTGCGTGCATACGTGTTAGTGTGTACGTGTGTTTACTTTAGCTGATTGAGGTCAACAGGATATATACACACACGTAAATATATATTAAACCTTTTTGATTGGTCGGTGGTCTTATAGTTTTTGCCCTTTTATTGTAAAACATTTATTTTCTCACTTATTAAAGAAGTGTTATACGTATATATATAAGGAAATAGGGTGTTATCTTATCATATATGTATTACAGTAACTGGACTCATCTATGAAGGCATAACGCAACACATGACTCTCGTTTGATGAACTACACCGTGGAAACCTTTTAATCGGCATTAAATCGTCTACTTACACACGCCCCAATACATACCTACATACTCACAAACACACATACACACATAGAAATGGATGACTTAGAAATTTCTGATGATTTTGAAAGATTCTGTCAAATAGCTCAACGTTCGCCAAGAGACAGTCTTGCGCCTATAATACAAATTACAGAACCTTCATCATACCATGGAAATACTACTACTACCAATAATAATTTACCTCCAGGCGCTACAGATTACTTGTCTACACCGAATATCGAATCACTGAAACGTGCATCAAGTTTTCGTGAGCCTAGACGTAGGAAATCAATTCAACCAAGTAGTTTCAGTGGTGAGATTAGTGCGACTAGATCACCGATGAGATTTAGTCAACAATGGGATAATCCAAATGAAATGATACAATCAGGTTGTAGTAGCGGATCACGACTACACAGACAACAACAACAACAGCAACAACAACGTCAAAGGTATGCAAATGAAACGAATGATTCAAGCGGTTTAAGAGGAGGTGATCCATCAAGGTATTGGCCAAATCCAGATTCAAATCGTGAATCTCCTGGATCATATTCACATTCCCCTGCAATGTATCGACCTGGAACAATACGTGATCGACCGGGTTCTATGAAAGAGACTGGTATCGGACGGACAAAAAATCATGAGAGACATACCTCACGACCATCTGCTCCAACACTACATCCAACTAATTTTCCAGTTTTCCAATATTCACCAAGTCGACATTCTATCACTCAACCAGATGAACAAATGTTACGCGTTCGACGTTTTGAACGGAATAAACACGGTGAAGTGATAAGTAAGGGTGATCGTGATGTTCCACAGATTGAAATTTTCTCTTCAAGAAGTCCATCAGGTGATTCACGTGCATCTATAGCTTATCCAAGATCAATTCCTGAGAGTATTCGACGTCAATCGGATTCATCTTTAAGTGATGAAGTTATCGAAATTCCAGCGATAACAACAACACTAGCTAACTCGCCCAGAGCTTCAAACGACGGTCTACACAGATACTATGGTAAGCGCACAAGTAGTCCAGTGAGAGGATTTAGACCAGAAACACGTTTAAGATCAAAATCATGGGCTCTTGTCTCTGATAGTCCACCAGACAGTTTATCTAATAAACCTGATTCTCCATCTGGTGGTGAAATACAACTAGAGGATCGTTTACTTCAAGTTCAAGTGATTGGAACTGCACGAGTTGGCAAAACAAGTATGTGTATGCAATTTCATACTTCAGAGTCAATTGAAGATCCAAGTGATTCAGGTGAGTTCAACAATTTTACTTCATATTGCAGTCTTTTTAATGTATTTTTCACTTGGTTGCTTCGTTCCCAAAAATTATCAGCTGTGCAAACATTTTTACTTTTTACTTATATAGTAGAAATTAGTAATGAGTATTTATTTTTTACGGCCACTATTAACATACCTAGTTTAGTAATGAAACTTTGACACTGTCAAGAGACTAACTAGCGATGGAATCCAGCAAGTGCGTCTCGTCCCGTTTGGGAGTCATCAGCCACAAAAACATGAATTTCTATTGACTGCTGGCATTTGAAATGATACGTGCATGGTTTAAGTCCCAGTGGAAACATTAGGAATCACCAGGAATCCATGGTACATTTACTGACAAGTCCCATATAAGGATTAAATACGTATTTTTGATTCCACTTACCAAAATAATTCGTTATCAGTTCCACTACTATAATTTATTATTGTTCCCCTAGGTTCCTAGCGGAACACAGGCTTCAACTGCACGTCTCCACTTGCTTCTGTCTTCCTTCTGATGTACTTCTCACCTGCATCCATGTCAATCCATACTATTTCAACTCCTCTTCATACGATCTCCTCCATGTCACCCTTGCACTGACGACCAACTCGCCACTTCTCTTTCGGGTTCCACTCGAGCAATGGCCTGACTTGCTCGCGATGTCACCCACCGGCCTTCTCAGTGAGTGTCGAATCAATCTCCACTTTCTCCTGCATCTTTGTTGGGCGATTGGCTCTTGTTTTGTTTGTTCCCAGCCATTGTTTCTGGTTGGTGATTCTTTCCTGCCCGGCCTTCTGATCTTCAGTATAGATCCAGCGAAGACAGTTGTTGGTTGGTGAAGGTCTGCAACAGGCTGATGGAAATATTCTTTGTGACTCGCCCGCCAAGTTTCTGATCCGTATAGGAAAACCGACTGACTTGAGGTTGTTTGTATTGAAAATCCGAGTGAATTTTGTTGTTGATGCTGGGTGAGTGACGAAGATTTCTAGATTGGTTTCAGGTTGACGAATGTGATTCTCGCTCGATTCGACATCCCCGTCCGTTCCGACTTCCCGTATTTAAGACAGTGCTTCCTAGATAAGTGAATGAACTAACCTCTTTCAAATCCCTCCCATTGATGGTGATTGGCGCTGGATGTTTCTGCTGTTGTTGTTGTTGGTTGGTTGTTTGGTTATTTCCATAACCTCCGTCTCGTCTATATTCACCTGGAGTTTTTTCTTCACCGGCTGCTTCTTCGACCAGTTTGTCGGTCGCTTTTCGCTTGTAAGTCTTCGATTTTGTGACAGTGACATCAAACACAAGTCATGCACAGGCGAAATACAGATCTTCTAGGTTCTTGACGTCTGTCTGTCCAGGATATCCCTGTCTTCTCGTTTGCCACTAGTCCCAGAAATGGTTATTTACTTATTTCGTCGTTTTGCTGCCAATTTCATTTTTCCTACAATCACGGGACTTATTACGGTGTCTAGAGGTTGGAGAAAAAAACGATGTTTATGTTGGTTTATCATAGAAATTAATATGTATTAAAAACACCATTATTGTTTCATCTGTCAAACCTGTTTATAAATTCATAGTGGAGTTGATATTATTCCCTGTATGATGGGCGTTTGTTAGACAAGACAAGGGTGCGCAGACACACAGACACACACACACACACATCAGACGGATCACGATATTTTGATTTTTCATCGGATAATCTGATTTTGAGCTATGATAATTAGCTGGCATGAAAAGACAAACAAACAGTGTAACACGTTGTAGCCTACCTAGTTCACGGTTGAATGCGAATCAAACAAGCCACCTTTCGTTTTGTTTTCAAAAAATTTTCTCTCTCAGCATGTACACAATGACGAACAATAATTATTCATCAAAACAGCATAGGGAAACGATAAACAAATTGAATATATATATATATATATATATATATAAAGCTTAGAAGAACTCATGGTGTTGCGTGCAACGCAATCGTTATCAGTGAATTGACATTTCTGCTCGAAGTGTGTCTGTTAGACATACACACACACACCCACATTGAGAATGTTGCCTGTTGAACGGATAGTCGTATCTTACTCTCTATCTGTTCAGGGATTATTGTTTATTATGGTTATTATTTTGGATAAGATATGGAAATGGGGTTGCTCACTATAGGTGGAGGGAAATATATGACGTTTTCATGTTTGGAGGTAATTAGAAAGGAAAGGCAGGCAGGAAGAGGAAAGGGGGAAGGAGAGTGGTTTCTGCGAGTAAATCATCCTTTTTTTTCGCGTGACTTTTGTCTAGACTGGAAGTTTTCATCATTCACCACCCCCGACACCCACCCTCACCCTCTCCAAACACACCATCAGAGACATATTGTAACATTTTTCTCATAGTGAGGTATCTAAATATCTAAGTATCTATGAGATCTTCACTTGTCAAGTTCATTTATTCATTAGAGGAAGCACACAAAGAATAATTCAAAAGTTTGCTTTTTTTCTTATCAAATTGTCAGTTGGTTTTTTCTTTGAGACTTTTTTTCAATACGAAAAATTTTTCACTATCAGATCATCAAGTGAAGTGAACTATTAAGCACTTGCACGCGTCTACACACTCACCTACTCACTCAGTCACACATAGACGTCGAGACAGACATATATTATTATTTTGTGCATTTATGCCATAAGCCTGGATACAAATCGTCGATATGCGATGACATATCATAACTATAGTCTCTGTAATTTACCTCAGAGTCTTAATAATCATGTCTAAATATAAAAAAGGTGAGGATGAGGGTGCTGATGCTATCTATGCGAAAAGCCTACATCTACGATTTCCGCCCTATCCAACCTCGCCATCGGAGGGGAGTTCATTTACATCATCGTAGACAGTTCTATTCTTACTCTTCATTTCACCGCATGATTTGTTCCATTCAACTGTCAGTGACACAGTGACATTAATAATAATAGTGATAATAATAATAACAGTAATAATGCAGTGTAACGACAGTGTAGCAATCATTCTACTTTTTTTATTTGTCCACCGACCGAAACTGACTACTCTTCATGGTCTGATGAATGCAAAAAAAAACGATTTTGTGTTCAGCTGTATAAAGCAGACGATAACTTGGTTGAGACACACATTGTCGTGAAAAGCTTGTGAGATAGGAAAAATACGAATATTCTGGAGTAACGAAACGAAGTGAAAGGAATAATTATTACAAATTTTTAAGATTTTTGATTTGTAGGTATTAAATTTATTTTTACGAGTTGGTAGAGGTAGAGTTGTAACTGGAAAGTTCTGGGTTCAAACCACACTCGGTGGATACGTACTGCGTACTGATTCCCGAGAAACTAGGATGAAACAGGTGTGTCCAGTACTCCAGTGCTGGTTCTCTGACTGATATAGATAATATCCCCACTTAGACCTTTAGAAAACAGATAGACTGAGCGAAGAAATATTTACTTTTCTATTAGATCCTCATTTCACTCTGGCTCTACTCTAATATATAATGCATAGCATTTTTATTACAATACACAACAGTTTACCAATCATCAAGTGGCACTGATATGTTTGTTAACAATAATTAGTCAGTGTCAAAATGTCAATGGGGTGATCATAAACGAAAGAAATCAATATACATTTAAAAGGTCGAAATGGTTAGAATAAATTAATTTTACAAGGATTACACGTAATTAAAGATGAAGTGGTCAGAAAAAATGAAATAATTTGGACAATTATAATTTTATAGGTTTAGGGGGTGGGGAGCGAAGTATTCCGGTCTATGCAATCATGTAACGATGTCTCAAGGCAAGGAAAATGGCTACACAAATTTCTTTTGAACACACACGTTTGGCTGGCTTCTTCACGTGGATTCCTATTGCTTCAGCCGTATGTAGAAGACGAACTCGTAAAGCAAAATTAAGATTAGTGGGAATGCGATAAATAATTTAAACTGTGCAGTATTAACGTCAATCTTATGCTCACTATCTACAAGGTGTGCTAAAATAGAGCTACGAATAGATCTTGTTTGTCCCTTGCTCAACCATGCTGGATGATGTTCGGAAATACGATGATAAAGCTGCCCAATTGTACACCCAATGTAACTGGCTCTGCAGCTACAGTTAAACTGGTAGATACACATAGAAGAGGCAAACTTAGGTAGTTTATCCTCATTTCTCGAACATGGAATAGGTGAGGGTGGTTGTGAAGAGACAACGCAACTCTGCCGCATAATAAGCTCTTTTAATTGCATTCTTAAGACGTTGTGTTATTGTTTCGCTGATGTTGTCACCGAGGAAGTAGAGTTATATGAACATTAGTTTTTTTGGAACTGTTGCCATACTGACTCTCATAGGTACTGGATTCATGTTTTTCTAAATGAATTTATCTGGATAATAATTTTTTAAGTAATTTTCTTATAATCTTAAGCTCCTCATTGAGGCAGTCATCTGAACAGATTAACCTGGCTCTATGAACCAGACACTTTACCAGGTTACGCGTTTATATTTCAAAGGTACGAAACTCAAAAAATGAGTGTACTGACCTGTTGTTGTACGTTTTCTATACACACTCTCTAACTGATATTAATCCGTGGTCATATCATTACAAAATTAGTTAAAACATCGAAATAACTGTAAACATTGTAACTAAATCATCCAAGGAAGATTGTCTGAAGGGGTTTTCCCGCTACAATGCTGGTTCTTTCCCATTTCTTCTGTCTCATCGACTGATCCATCTATTTAAGGTGAATAAGCATTCGTTACCGGTTCGTTTCACAGAAATCTTACCAATTTTACTGTTTGTGAATATTTTTCTGAGTGAATTTTCACATTTTTAAAAAAGCAAGCTTATAGAATAAAAATATGGCACTATAAAATCCTTTTATGCAACTGACAGAAAGTTCATTTTAGTGGTTCAATCAAAGCCGTATATTCACACGTCTAATGGAACATGAGATTATTTCATACATTTATTCTCCTTAATGAATTTCAGCAAAACAAGAACTACAGTTTTAGCAG